GGGGGGAGGGGCGGGCATTACCACGCTGCACTCAGATGGGGAAACGGAGGCTCGGAGGGTGGAAGGACAGTCACGGCCTCTGGTGGAGCAGTGCTCCACCCACCCCTGGCACGGAGCAGCCCCAAGAGTTGGTGCCATCTGTGCCCTGCAGAGCTGAGAGGCCCCCAGCGGGCAGAGCTGCGCCGTCCCCCCCAGCTCGTGTCTGTTCTGTCTGCCTGCGGCCGGCCGGACCACCTCTCTGCAGGCCCTCCCAGCAGGTCAAGGCCACCGGCCTGCTCGGCGACCGGAGCCATAGGAGTAAGCCCTGAGCACTGCCGGGTGTGGCAAAAAACCAAAACCGAAACCTAGCGCCCCCAACCAGGCCCTCCCCCTCCACTGCTGCCTGGGCGGGTGACTGCACCCAGCCTGCAGGGTCTCCTCACCTGTACCCCAAGGCCCTGGTCCTGTGGCTCTGGGCTCTCACAGTTTCCCTGCTGGCGCCTAGTGCATACCCCCAGCAGATGGCGACGTGTCAGAGCCCTCACGCGGGCTGGTTTGCATGATGCTTCGGAGGATCCAGAGTCGTGAGTCGCCTGTCCGGGCTCCCGGAAGTCAGGCCCTGAGAGACAGCCTGTCCGGGTGCGGGCGGCTCCCCCGGGCGCTCCAGTGCTCAGTGCTGGCCTGCCCGGACCAGCTGCCCTTCCTCTTCTCGCCTGTCTGTTTGTATTTGTTTTGGGGTCACACCCAGCAGAGCTCAAGGGTCACTCCTGGCTCTGCACTCTGGGGTCGCTCCTGGCGGTGCTCGGGGGACCCTATGGGATGCCGGGGATCGAACCTGGGTCAGCTGCGTGCAAAGCAAACAAATGCCCTCCCCGCTGGACTATCGTTCCTGTCCTCTGCCGGCTTATTTCTTAATTTTATTTGTAATATTTTGGTTCTGGCCCCCTCCCCCCCTCGGGGCTGACTCCCGGCTCTGTGCTCAGGGATCACCCCTGGCAGGGCTCAGGGGACCCTCGGAGATGGCAGAGGTTGAATCTGAGTCGGCTGTGTGCAAGGCCAGCGCCCTCCCCGCATGCTCTGTGCAGGAGCAGCACCGGGTCCCCGGCACGGGGACACTGGGGGGCAGGACAGCGCTCACCTGAGCCCCCCCCCCCCCGGCCCACTAAGCCATCCTGCGCAAGCCCCACTGGTGGCGGCCAGGGAGGGGACGCAGGGTGAGGGGCAACACCCAACCTGCCCAGCCCCTCAGCCCCTCCCCCCAGGCCCCTGCCCAGGGGCTGCTGCTGCCCTGGCCCTGAGCACTGAACCGCCTGATGTGCTTGACTGAGTATCTCTGTGAGTGACCCCTAAAGATGGACTTAGTGGGGCCGGAGACATAGCACAGCGGCTAGGGCTTTTGTCTTACAGGACGTCTGAAGCACAGGCAGGAGTGATTCCTGAGCACAGAGCCGGGAGTCCCCCCAGAGCACAGAGCCAGGACTAACCCCTGAGCACAGAGCCGGGAGTACCTCCTGAGCACGACTAAGTGTAGCCTCCAAACAAACAAGCAAACAGAAAACTGAGCTGCGCATGCTGTTAAAGGTGGGGAAACTGAGGCACAGAGCGGTTAGGGAGCCGGGATCGGGTGCCGGTGCTGGGGGAGGATGGAGCAAGGATCTGTCCTCTGACACCAAGCTGGGCCCCTCCCCGAACGCGACTCACAGGCCCATCCCAGCCCCGGTAGACGCGGTGGCCCCCCTTGGCGTGACGTGGCCACAGGCTGCCTCCTCCTGGCCCTTCCTCCCGCTCCAGGCTAGGGTCCCTCTCGGTGGGGGGCACATCCGGCTTCTCCATCCCCCCTTCCTGGCGCACAGACACCCCCCACAAAGTGGGCCCGGCCACGCGGGGGAGGGGGGCTGCCCGAGAACGGGGCCAGCACAGGGGCAGCCGAGGGGAGGGACGGGACAGGCTCCTGCAGTGCCCGGGTGCAGGGTCCAGCCACGCCTGGTGCCAGCCACCCCTGGTTCTCACCCGCCGATTGTCTCACTGCACAAACAAGCACCCGCTCTGCAAACCAACAAGGGCTGCGTCAGCCTAGCTGGGACGGGCCGAATGCTCGGCAGACTGGACGGCAGCAGCGGGAGGCAGGAACTTTCCGGGCACATCTGCCTCCTGCCTGCTGGCACGTGTCCACCATAGAGACTAAAGTCTGTCCTCCGTGGCCCTAGACCCTCAGACCTGCACCACAACAGGCCACCGGAACCAAGCCTCCATTTGCCCCTCTCCTGGCGTGAGCACTTCTCAGGGAGCAGCTGACACACCAGGGCTCGCTCTGCTGCCCACAGCGCGGGCCTCTGCCCCGGGAAGTGAGTGCGGGGTCTCATTCTCTCCTGCGGGGGCCCCACACTCGCCCTCCCCAGGTCACTGACTCAGTTTCTCTGCTGGCCCCTCGCTTCTTAGGCACCACAGCGACAGAACCGGGACCCCACTCACAGCTTCATGGGTCCTCGCCCCGCTGGCGGCAGGTCTGTGGGTGACCGGGGCCTGCAGGGAGACACTGTGTCTCTGTGACACCCCCCCCCATCTGACCCTGCAGTCACGGTGGTCGTTCCTCCCCAGCACACGCTGTGGCCCCCTCCTGGGCCCCTCTCCACACATGTGAGCATGACAGCGGCCCTAGTACCCGCCCAAGGTGTCCTGCCCAGCGCCACGAGCAGCGTGGCGAGTGTTCATGGTGGGCGGCTGAGTCAGCTGTCCCGGGTCCGGTCCCACAGAGGGGCGCTGAGAGCCCTCTCCCCTCCCAAACAGCAGGAGGTCAGGGATTGCTGGGCACACTGAGGGGGCACACCAGCTCTGGGCGGCTTGTGTGTCCACTACAGCCCCCCAGGGACGCCCCCACAATAGCCTCTGCCCTGCAGGCCCAGCCTGCTCCATTCTAGCCGGGGGCAGGTCTTACAAAGAACACTGTGGCACGTGGGCACCAGCTAAGCCATCCCTGGGGCCTTGTCTGCCCCTTCCAGGGACACCAGCCACGTTGTGGCAGCCCCCCGGTCATGAACAGGCCAAGTGCTCTCCCGTGCCCTGGAAGGGTCCTCTGATGAGGATTCAAACCCGGGTTCCTGGGCATGGAAGAGGGGGGTCCGGGGGCAGGTGCCCGGGGGTGGCCCACCGGGCTTGTGGTCAGCTCACTCGGGCTGGGCGGCAGCAGGTGGGGGGCAGGCGTGGGGATGGGGTGCTGGTCCCCCCCACTGAAACCACCGCTGTGGCCGGGAGCTGCTTCCTGCTGAGAGTGACTCGGGTGGTCCCCAGCTCATGCCAGTCCACCGGGGCAGGGCCTGGAGTCTGGCCTGGCCACATGCTCTCAGGTAGGCAAGATGGAGTCGGACTGTTCTCTGCAATCGCGCCATCCAGCCCCTCCCGACTCAGGGCCTCTGATGGTGGAGGGGGGTGGGCACCCCTGGGCAGGGTCCATGCAAGCGGGGTCACGACCTCCACCCCCATGGGGAAGGGGGCAGCTGGTGGCCATGCGCTGGCCGTGTTCTGGAAGGGCCCAGGCACTGGCGGTGGCTCCTCCCAAGGGGCCGGGGCCACAACCGGGCTCCCCCTCCACGTCCCACGTGGCTCCAGGGCCGCGGGCTGGGCTGACACGCAGACGCCCGCGTGAGCCGTCCCCATCGCAAGTGGACACAGGCACGTGGAGCGCCCCCCGTGTCAGCCGAGGGAACTGGGGCACCGACTCCTGCGGCTGGGCCTGACCCGGGACCCCAGGACTGTGGTCCCAGGGGTGTCGCCTGCCCTTCCGGGACCCCCATATTCCTAAGGACCACCAGAGCCACGTGCTCTGAGCTGGCCTCTGACCAAGGGTTCTTCTGTCCCAGATCTCCTGGGGTCCTGGTGGAAAATGAGGGCACGAGGCCAGAGAGGTGGGAGAGAAGCCCCCCACGTACTCAGCCCTGAGCTGTTGCCCCCCGAGTCCCTGGGACCCCCTCTAGCGCCTGGTGCCCCCGTTGTCCCCCTGAGAGACACGGCCGGGGCGTGTGAGCATGGGCCAGGCAGAGTGCCAGCCCGAGAGTGGAGGTGAGCGCAGGCAGAGGTGTCAACCCGATGGAGGAGGTGACCGCAGGCCAGGTTCCAGCTGGGTCACTCGGTGCAGGCAGGAAGCTTCCAGCATGCCCCTCTCCTGCCCACAACCCACCAGACTCAAAGAAAGGAAAGGCGCTTCCGAGCGTCTCCGGCTCTGCGTGCGGCCATCACGGCCCAGGGGAGGCCCAGATGCAGAGAGCCGCGGGCCCCAGGACTGCGGCCACGCAGGCATGGGCAGCGGGCAGCAGCCTCGGCGTGCTCGGGCAGGGACCAAGGAGGCGTGGGAGGCCCCGGAGCCAGCCTGGCGCTGCAGTGCTCAGGGAGCCAGGACTGTGTGGGAGCCGAGGCTAGCCCTCTGGGGCGTGGGCTGCCCTTATTGAGCACCTTCTGGATGCTCAGGCCCGTGGGTGAGGAAGTGAGGGAGATGATTTCTAGAGGAAGACGGGCGGGGAGGGGGACTCAGCAAGGAAACCGCAGGGGGAGGCCCCCACCCTCCCTGGACCCTGTGGGCTGGGCCTCTCCCTGACCGCGACACACTGGGGGTCCTGTCACTAGGCAGCCTAGGAAACCCCACTCCATCCGCAGGGCAGGGACACAGGGGCTTTGGGGACCTTCCTGGGAGCCAGGGCACCCTGGAGCCCCGGCGAGGCCCCGCAGGGCCTGGACGCAGATAGCTGACTGCTGACCGCAGGGCTGAAGCTGGACAAGGCGCCTGGAACGGAGGGGGCTGGACACCCCCTGGGCGAGGGTCCCTCCTGCCCCGGGAGCCCTGGCCGGGACCCGTGCTGGTCAGTGGGCACCGCCCAGCTTCCCAGGACGCCGAGTCCATCTCTGCACAGCCGCCCGCTGCCCAGGCGTCTGGCGTCCAGGGCTCCGTCTGGACCCGGCCCAGGCCGCTGGCTCTCCTGCAGGGCGTATCCCAGCACCGCCGACGCCCGCGGAGCCCGGCGCACACCCACCTTCCACCGGGGAGGTCTGCAGGCGCCGGCAGATGGCTTCTGTGTCCCCGTAGGTCTCCTTGATCTTGACCACGGCCTCGGTGCCCCGGAGCTCCATGAGGCTGCGTAGCTCCTCCATGGTGCACCCGAAGTCGCCCCCATGGCTCGGCTCGTGTCTTTGGTTTTTGGAGTAGAAGTCGCTGTTGGTCATGTCCCCCATGTCGGCGCAGTCCCCGCGCGGGGTGGGCCGGATGCCGGCACCGGACAAAGCTGCTGGAGGTCACTCCGCGGGGCTGTCCTCAGCCCAGCTTCAGGGCGCGGCGGTGGCGGGGGCTGCTGGGAGCGGGGGCGGCCGGGGCGGGCTGGCGACGGTGACCAGGAGCTCCAAGGAGGGTCCCGAGGCGCGGGGCGAGGTGCAGGGGCCGGGCGGGCTCAGGGCTGGGCACCCAGGCGTCTCCATCCAGCGGGGTCCATGCTGCTCGCCGGGACCGGCATCTACATGGTCGGGGTGAGGCCACCTGCGGGGCAAGCACAGGCTGTGAGGGCGGCACCCGGGCAGCTTTGGGCCCCCAAACCCGGGCCCACCCGCCAGACAGACGTCCCGCCAAGTCTCCCACTCACACCCCGCTCCCGCAGGCTATGGCCGGCCGCCAATGGCCAAAGCTCTGATGTTTACTGCAACCCCAGACACGCATGCACAGACCCCACTGCACACTTGTGGCCCACCCGCCCACATATCATCCAGAAATACCTCGACGTCCAGCCCCCTGCACACCCCCAAAGGACTGAGAGCACAGCCCGCGTCCACACTGGCCCTCCCAGGCCAAACTGTCCCCAGAAGAGTCAAACGTAAGTACTGTATGCAGCGAGGGGTGCAGTGCCCCACGGTCGGCACAGAGGCTCCCCCTCCCCCATCATCTGTGGCTGCCTTGGGCCCTGGCCGTGTCCCCTTGGGGCTCACAGCAGTGGCCCCCAGAGGGGCCCGCTCATGCATATTCATGAGCCACTCACCTGGCCCCGGGCTCAGCCCCCAGCCCGAGCTCAAACCCCCGGGGCCTCACCTGGCCTGTGGCCCCCCCAGTGCCAGGCCACGGACAGCCGCCGCCACGTCCGCCCCGGGGCCCGGATTGGAGGCAGCACCCGCCACCCTTGCAGAAACGCGGCGTCTGGGCGCTGCTGGGGAGAATCCAATCCGCCCAGACACCCAACACCGGTGGCCGAGGCCCCGGCAAGCGTTGGGTGACAAAGGGCCCTGCTGGAACCGGCTGGGTCTGGGACAGGGGCCAGCCCTGCCCGAGGGCTATGGAGAACTGGCCATCCGAGGTGCAGAGCGGTGTGGGAAACGAGGGGACAGTGGGGAGACAGGGGGAGCCCTTCCCGGCCCCCCGACCCTCTCTGTCCCCTCTCCTGGGCCGCTCTTCCTCCAAGACGCGGGCTGAAAGCCTTCAGCGTCCAGAGCCGGCGGCCTCTGTGTCCTCGGGGACGCTCGCTCTCCCTTCCCTCTGAATGCATCTGCCACGGTGGGAACTCGAGGGCCCAGGATCAGAGCAAAGGTCCCCGTCCCCGCTCGACACGGTCCTGGCTGTGGGCCCTGGGCAAGTGCCTTAGGGTCACCGCCCCTGCAGTGGCCTCAGAGGGAGGCGGCCAGGCTTCCTGGGGTCAGGCGGCAGGACCCTGAGCTTCATCCGGGAGCCACGGAACAAACATGGACCGAGGAGAGCAGGCGAGGCAGGGCGGATGCAGGGAAGCCCCATTCTGAGTAAGTGGAGGCTGGAAGGAGCCGCTCCTGCCCCAAAGCACGCACCCCCACCTCGTATCTTCCCCCCTGGGGGTCCCCTGGAGAAGCTGGTGGAGCAGAGGCCCAGAGGCCATGGTGGAGGAGGTGGTCCCTGAGGGCACGAGGAACTGTTTCTGGGTGCACATCCCCCCACTTCCCAGCTTTTATTGATTGACTGATTGACTCACCGAGAGGTACAGTAACAAAGCTTTCATGTCTGCATGTTTGAGCTTCGATCATACAGTCATCAAACACCCATCCCTTCCCTAGTGCGTTTTCCAACACCAAAGTCCAAAGGCCCCAGTGTCCCCCTGCCCCCACCTCCCATTCCAAACCTTCCCCTGCCTGTGTGGCAGATAATTTCACAATACTCTCTACTCTCTCCACTTTGGTTCCCTCCCATATTTCAAGACCAGTCCCAGCACCACTCATACCCGAAAAGGCAAGGCTAGACAATGTGTTTTGTAGGGCTTGTTACGGATACAAAGTAACACCACTTCCTAGCTTGAGGGGAGCAAGAGTTACTAAGTTCCATGATCTTAACACAAAAAGGGAGACGTGTAACCTGCATTAAGGAGGGTGGAGGAACGAGGAGGGACGGGTCCAGCCTGCCAGTCACCACTGAGGCGAACGCCCACCCTGGTGCCCCCGAGAACAGGTGAACCCTCTGAGGGTGCTATGGGGTGGGGAGGGCCAGGTCTCGGGCAGCGGGCGGCTTCCGACGGCTTCCCTAAGTGTGGCTCTCGGGACGCTGAAGAGCCACAGTGACAGTGCTCAGCGAGCCGCAGGGACCGTGTCAGGCCGAGGTGTTGCCTCCCGCGTGGGGGACTCCAGGTCCCGACAATCACATCTGACAGCAGAAGGGGGGTCATTAACCGTAATTATATTTGTCACGGCCAGAGCAGGGACGAGCTACTGGGAAGCTGGAGGGTTTAATGACTGTTAAGACAAGTGACGAACTTGCGCCATCTCTTTGTCCATACGTCCATCAGTCTGCCCCCTGGTCCTTCCCTTGACTGGCCTCACGGGCTGTCCATCGGCCTGTCCATCCGAGAACCGGGCCCGGGCCCCTGTGCCAGCCACGGGCTAATCCAGATGCAGTTCCTGCTTCTCACTGGCAAGCGGCTGGGGACGGAACCGGCCTCTCTGCCGTCACAGGCCTGCAGTGGCCAGGAGGCCAGAAACGGCAACTCCCTGGCCGAGGGAAGGGTCTCTCCACCAAGGGCTCGGCAGAGGGACTGAACCGTGGGAGAGAGAAATGCACCAACTCCCGCCAGCCTGAGGTGGCCCGAAAAGCCCCTGGGGCGGCCCCTCCTCCTTCAGGGCTCCCACGGCAGCCCCCTCTTGGGGCAGCCTGTCCCCCACCTCTGTGCCCCCGTTCCTGCATCTCAGGGTGTGTGAAGAGCTGACCTGGTTTGGGGGTCTCTGCCTTTTCTCCCTAGGTACTTGATCTGACTCTGCGGCTTGCCAGGGCCAAGGTGTGACCCCAGACAGGCAGAGGGACAGCAGGGCCCTGGCAGCAAAGGCAGAATCCACCTCTGCCCACCCCATGGCCCATAAGGCACATCTACTCTGTACTGGTGCACGTTCCAGAACCTTCCAGACCACCCAGGACAGGCCGGGTCCCTCACCTCAGGTAGCCCATATTCTACCCCCTGCCGTGCGGGGTGGTGGCCACGTCCACCTCTGTCTCCTCTGCTGCCCAGAGGCCTCATCAAAGCCAGCAAATGAATGAATATTGGCCACACCCATGGGGGCCAGGCCCGGTCAGTGTCCCCCTGTCCGAGGTGACAGCAGGAATAGATCCAGAGCCTTTCACCTTCCTGTCTCCCTGGGGAGGCGGCTGTGGACAAGAGCCGGGCCCGTGGCCACAGCACCAGGCCCAATGTCCCGGCCACAACTGCAGCTCTGGGGCTCGGAGTCACCTGACCCCGGTGGGAGCCAAGACCCTGGCAGTGGACACTGCTCAGTGCTGGACTCTGACCCACTCCTCTGCCCCCAGTGCCCTTGCTCCTGCATGAGGGGTCACTACAGCTCCGGGCGCCCCCAACAGTGGACGCGCAGGCTGTACGGACTCAGGTACCGAATCCCAGCGGCTGGCGTGAAGCCGAGGGCCCTGGCCACGCGGGTGGGGGGGGGACATGAGGCTCTCAGCCTGGCCAGTGCCCAGTGAGATGGCGCGGGAGGGGGTGCGTCCAGCCTTTGGAACGGTGAGGAGAGCCTCGGAGTCCCGGCCAGACGGTGACCTGGCAGCAGCCTGAGCCACGTCAGACCCGGCGCGGTGCCTTGATTGCTGGGTTCAGAGAGGCAGAGCGGCCGTCCGGGGGACACACAGCCCACACAGCCCAGAGTCCCCTGAAAGCCCTTCCCTCTTCCCAAGCTCCAGTCCACTGGGGTCCCCTGTCAGGGACAGGGCGATTGGTCAGCATGCTGGGACCCCATCGCAGAGAGACCTACAGGGAAGCCAGGAGACTGTCTTGCCACCGGAAGGAGAAGGAGAATCAGTTCACTGGGCTGGCGTCTGATTAGCATTTAAATGACTCAGCCCTGTTACCTTCCCACCACTCAGGAATCGAGCCTTAATAAAAGGTTTTTGCCTGAGGGACACCAGCAGAGGAAGGAAGAGGGAATTTTTGGTGTTTTTATGGGGGAGCTAATTTAACAATCATCTTTCTAAGGAAGGATTTGAAAAAAAAAAACAAACCCAAATCCCCAAACCACCACCAAGCCACACCCACAGCCCAAACCCCCAGCCTCCCAGACTGAGTGACCTCTGGGCCGCTGCGGTCAGCCCAGGCTCCTGGGACAGGCATGAGATAAGTCCAGAGTCCCCCTGATGACCGCTGTGGGGACAGACCAGCTAGAGCCCCATGCTCAGGGCCACTGGTCAGTGCTGAGACCTGGCCAGCTCTGAGCTGGAGAGGGTGTGTGTGTGTGTGTGTGTGTGTGTGTGTGTGTGTGTGTGTGTGTGTGTGTGTGTGCGCGCGCGCACCCCCTCACAGAGAGGGCTTCAGTCCCACCCTGCCTCTGGTCTTGACCCAGAAGAACTTGTCTTTTAAGGACGACCTTGACTCCCTCCCTGCCTTGCTCCTCTGTCCAGCCGCACTGTCCCCTCCTGTTTGCAGAGCTGAGCCGTGTCCTGCACAGGCCTGCACAGGCCGGCAGTGCTGCAGGGCTGCCTCTCCCCTTCCTCCCCCCTGCCTACCCCTGCTCCCTCTCAGCTCTATCCCAGCCCTGGGTCTCCTGCCTCCTCCTCTGCGCGCAGGGCCCGGCCACTCTGAGGCAACCTCCTCAGGGCTGGGCTGAGGAAACTCAGGGTCTCGCTCCAGACTGGACAGTGGCCTGTGGGGGGGGGGGGGGCGGGCCCACACCTGTGAGTGTGGCCCCCCGTGCCTGCACGGTGATGGCAGCCAGGGAGAGACCAGAGAGAGGGGAAGGAACCGGAGATGAAACCCTCAGAAGCAGATTCCC